ACAGGAACATACAGCCATAATGGCAGATAATGAAGCCATGTTCAACCAGGTGGAAGTAGTGAAAGATGACTCTGATTTCTTCAGATACTATCTGTGGCTGGAGTGAGTGAGTGGGTTTGGTTTAACGCCGCTTTTAACAGTATTCCAGTTATATCAAGGCATGTCAGCTTAATGTGGGAGGAAAGCCCGAAGTGATGCAAGTCTTAGACGTTTACCACTTCAGTGAAACCCACGAGCACGGGTATGGTGCTGACAAACCTAGAAACATAATCGGGGTGAACCGGGATTCGAACCCACAATCATAGGTTTCTGGCGTGCCCAAGGGACGCAACTCTGCACAGCGAATCGCGGCGCCTTAGACGACTGGGCCACCCGTGCCACTAATGTTTAGGGCTGGGACGAGCCCAAATTTACTACCCGGGTACCCACCGCCCTATTACCCGATCCTACCCGGGTACCCACTGTAGGTCTCAAGAGATACAAAATGTCCATTTGGGAATTTTGTTACCACAGCTCTTGCAAAACATATTTAGATACATTTATAAAACGATCTGGTAATCTCTTGAGACCTACAGAGGGTACCCGGGTAGGGTCAGGTAATAGGGGGTTTGGTACCCGGGTAGCAAATTCGGACTCGTCCCAGCCCTAATGTAAACAGTAGCTGTAATCTTGTAGATGTGTCATCACACAGAGAATAAAGGCTGTGATAGAAAGAGAGAAGAATTGACATTTATTGACTTTCATAGATACTGTCAGAGAAATATGACTTTGTTGTCATTATTCTTTTGCCAGGTTATAAACAGAGGATGGGGCCATTAAGAAAACTCATCACTTAATAACTTAAATTATTCCAAAAAAAACTAACCATTTATTGGGAATTATGTCTTTTATGCAAAATAAGTCGTTCAGCACATCCTCACCCATTAAATGCTACATCACTGAATAAAGGTGAGCTTCTGTACCTGTGGTTTCACTGACTGAATGTTTCTTCTCAGATGCATGTGTGTAGGATGATGTGTAGGAACATATCGTTTTTTTCTGTTGACCAAAAATATTTTTCTCAATTGAGAAACATATTTAAGCATGATCATCTAAAAAATGCAAATGTCGGGAGAGTCGACATTTTGGTAGGATATGTATCACGTGAAATGGGATGCACACTCAATCATTGGCAATGAGATTAAGATAGTAATTCATCTTTAGATTGAACATACAATATGTTTTTTATCTCACCAAAGCCAAAGCTGAAACTTAGTGTAAAAAATACTATTTGTTTTTTTTATGGACCATTTTCATGCAGCTCACTTACATAGTGAAATTGGGCTTAAAGTCATGTTGAAGATTACTACACATGCATAGCGATGGGCATGCATGTGTCTGTATGGCGGCTTGTACTAGTCCGGACAAATTGTGACTTTATAGTGCTGGGCCAAAGAGATACCATGCCACAGTTCAATACGGATGTCCCACCGATACTGACTCCGAACTGACCAATCCTTGTTTTATCCCCTTAATGGTGAACACCAGACAGGTACTAAGTACCATCTTTTACCATTGTTTGGCATGTCATGCATATTGCTGGGGGATCGAAGATGATTATGAGTTTGCTTAGGATCATTGAACGCACCTGGTAAGCAAAGGAAAGACTCAGCACAATGTTTTAATTTTTTTGTGATAATTGTATGAAGGGCCTGAATCAGATCCAAGTGGTTAAAATGGGTGGCTTGATTTAAACTCTGCCTTGTTGTTGTGTTGTCTATTCTGACAGGTCCAGATTTGACTATTTATAGACCAACTTAACATTCACACAATCAATGTTTCCCCTTTTCCCACAGAACGTTACTGCCAAAAGCTGGACTTGCTCAAGGAGTATTTTGTGGACATCCATGCCCTCCAGACAGCCCAACAGCTCCTTGAGAAGCATGGCCATGTCAGCATCTGTGGAGCTCCTGGAGATGGGAAGACCAGCATTGCTCTGAAGATCTGTGAGGCATATCAACAAAAGGGATATGAAGCAGTGTTTGTGGAAAACATTGAACGTTTTGACATTGATACAATTTCTAAACGGCAATCACACATGCTGGTTGTTTTTGATGATATATTTGGTTCTGTCACATTCAGTTCAAATTTGGAAAAACTACATGAATTGTTCAGTGCCTTGGTTGATGATCTTGCTAAAACTGCCGCTGATAAAGAGCGGGATTCCAAGAAGAAGAAAGATAAACAATCAAAAGCTAAGGAACAATCCAATGAAGAAACCCCCATCTACAGGCTGAAGCTTGTTTATACATCTAGGACATACATCTGGAAGGAGGGGTGTTCAAGACTACATCAGTACAAAGTGGATCTACTTAAAACAGAAGCTGTGCTTGATATGACTAAAGACCATCTCACGGTTGAAGAAAAGAAACGTATGTTACGTTCCTTCAAGAGCAAACATCCTAAATGTGATATCTCTGAAAAGGATATTTGTAGCATCACAGATTCAAAAAATAATATATTTGGATTCCCTCTTATCAGCAGACTCTTTTTCACTCATGCAGTCTTCCAGATGCACAACGTAAAATTCTTCAATAATCCTCTGACCTACCTGAGAGGTGACCTTGACGCCATTGTCCGGGAAGAAAGCAACAGATCGGCAGCCATCATCCTCCTCATCCTCTGTGATGGAAAGCTGAACCTTGTTTCTTTGCAGTCACGAAAAGCTGTAAATGTCAAGTTTGATGCTGTGAAAGACGTAGTTCCTTGTTGTACAAGCATCGGCGTTGCCAAGGAGATCACAAACTTTACTGGGGTCTACTGTACAGTCGAGGATCACATCGCATCTTTCTCTCACCCCTCCATATACGATGCTGCAGCCTGTGCTGTAGGACATCTCAATATCGTGTTGCTGCTGGAACACTGCTCCCTGAAATTCATGTATGAAAGAGTGAGGCTGGGTAAGAGTATACAGTCATCAGACATTGAAGATGTCACAAACATGATCTACATCACCCCCCAACTACACCAAACAGTAGTGGACAGACTGGTGGAAGGTATTCGACAAGGATGCTTCATTTGGACAGTGAAACATCCAGTTCTCCGTGATGAGAGGATTGCCTCCCTACTATGGACAGAGATTAAAGATAACATTGTTGAGATTGTCGAACAAAAGGATAGGGACTCAGGTGAATGCTTTTTGTACTCAGCTTCCCTATCTGAGAGTTACTTTCTATTCTCAAAGTCATTAGAATTTGTTGGAAGACAGGGTGACACATCAACTGATCTATATGACTGCGTGGTAGGCTGTGTTACTCACGGCAAACTAAAACACCTGGAACACCTCGTTACAGTCATGAGTCTACAAGCAGGATTCAATGTTGAATTTTCCATAGACGGGGAAACCCTTCTGATCATGGCTGCCAAGTCAGGACAGTCAGAGGTGTTCAACTTCCTCATCCAGAAGGGTGCTGATATTTCAGTGACGGATAGGACAAGAAACACCTGTTTACATTATGCCTGTGAATCAGGAAGTATGGCGTTGACCAGAAAGGTGGTTGAAATGTGTCCTGTTTTACTAAATTCTAAAAGTTCTAAGGGTTTCACACCTGCAATGCTTTGTGTCAAAGCAGGTCACCTTTTGATCCTGAAGTTCCTGAAACAAAAAGGAGCCGATTTTACTCTTACCGGCTGTAACTTGTCAGATTGTTTGCACTTAGCCAGTGAAAATGGCTATTTGTCAACTGTGAGATTTTTGATTTTGCTGAAAATGTTTAATGTGAACAAGAAGGAAAGATTGTTAATGCAAACATCAGCTATGAAGGCAGCAGAAGGAGGATACAATGATGTTTATCAATTCCTTGTGTCTGAGGGTGCAGATCTGTCACTTACTGATATATACAATAGAGACTGTCTGATGTTGGCATGTGAGGGAGGAAACATATCTATAGTGAAACATGTCTTGTCAATGAAAACATGTGACATCAACAGGCGGGGAGGAAGGTTGAAACAAACACCAATTATGATGGCATTGAAAGGAGGACACAATGATGTTTATCATCTCCTTGTATCTGAGGGTGCAGTTCTGACCCTTACTGATTACCAAAACAGAGACTGTCTAATGTTGGCATGTGAGAGAGGGAACATAAATATAGTGAAACATGTCTTGTCAATGAAAACATGGGACATCAACAGGCGGGGAGGATGGTGGAAACAAACACCAATTATGATGGCATTGGTAGGAGGACACTATGATGTTTATCATCTCCTTGTATCTGAGGGTGCAGATCTGACACTTACTGATTATTACAACAGAGACTGTCTGATGTTGGCATGTGTGGGAGGAAACATATCTATAGTGAAACATGTCTTGTCAATGAAAACATGTGACATCAACAGGCGGGGAGGATGGGGGAAACAAACACCAATTATGATGGCATTGGAAGGAAGACACTATGATGTTTATCATCTCCTTGTGTCTGAGGGTGCAGATCTGACACTTACTCATGATGAAAACATAGACTGTTTGATGTTTGTATGTCAGAGAGGGAACATAAATATAGTGAAACATGTCTTGTCAATGAAAACATGTGACATCAACAGGCGGGGAGGAGAGTGGAGACAAACACCAATTATGTTGGCATTGGAAGAAGGACACTATGATGTTTATCGTCTCCTTGTATCTGAGGGTGCAGATCTGACACTTATTGATGATTGCAACAGAGACTGTCTGATGTTGGCATGTGAGGGAGGAAACATATCTATAGTGAAACATGTCTTGTCAATGAAAACATGGGACATCAACAGGTGGGGAGGAGCATGGTTGAAACAAACACCAATTATGATGGCATTGGCAAGAGGACACTATGATGTTTATCATCTCCTTGTGTCTGAGGGTGCAGATCTGACACTTACTGATAATGAAAACATAGACTGTCTGATGTTGGCATGTGAGAGAGGGAACATAAATATAGTGAAACATGTCTTGTCAATGAAAGCATGTGACATCAACAGGCGGGGAGGAGACTTAAAAAAAACACCAATTATGATGGCATTGGCAAGAAGACACAATGATATTTATCATCTCCTTGTATCTGAGGGTGCAGATCTGACACTTACTGATGACAACAACACAGACTGTCTGATGTTGGCATGTGAGGGAGGAAACATATCTATAGTGAAACATGTCTTGTCACTGAAAACATGTGACATCAACAGGCAGGGAGGATGGTATAAACAAACACCAATTATGATGGCATTGCAAGGAGGACACGATGATGTTTATCATCTCCTTGTGTCTGAGGGTGCAGATCTAACACTTACTGATGACGACAACAGAGACTGTCTGATGTTGGCATGTGAGAGAGGAAACATATCTATAGTGAAACATGTCTTGTCAATGAAAACATGTGACATCAACAGGCAGGGAGGAGAGTGGAAACAAACACCAATTATGATGGCATTGCAAGGAGGACACGATGATGTTTATCATCTCCTTGTGTCTGAGGGTGCAGATCTGACCCTTACTGATGACAACAACAGAGACTGTCTGATGTTGGCATGTGAGAGAGGGAACATGAATATGGTGAAACATGTCTTGTCAATGAAAACATGTGACATCAACAGGCGGGGAGGAGAGTTGAAACAAACACCAGTTATGATGGCATTAGAAGGAAGACACTATGATGTTTATCATCTCCTTGTATCTGAGGGTGCATATCTGACCCTTACTGATGACAACAACAGAGACTGTCTGATGTTGGCATGTGAGAGAGGGAACATAAATATAGTGAAACATGTCTTGTCAATGAAAACATGTGACATCAATAGGCGGGGAGGAGAGTTGAAACAAACACCAGTTATGATGGCATTGGAAGAAGGACACGATGATGTTTATCATCTCCTTGTGTCTGAGGGTGCAGATCTGACCCTTACTGATGACAAAAACAGAGACTGTCTGATGTTGGCATGTGAGAGAGGGAACATGAATATGGTGAAACATGTCTTGTCAATGAAAACATGTGACATCAACAGGCGGGGAGGAGAGTTGAAACAAACACCAGTTATGATGGCATTGGAAGAAGGACACGATGATGTTTATCATCTCCTTGTGTCTGAGGGTGCAGATCTGACCCTTACTGATGACAACAACAGAGACTGTCTGATGTTGGCATGTGAGAGAGGGAACATGAATATGGTGAAACATGTCTTGTCAATGAAAACATGTGACATCAACAGGCGGGGAGGAGAGTTGAAACAAACACCAGTTATGATGGCATTAGAAGGAAGACACTATGATGTTTATCATCTCCTTGTATCTGAGGGTGCAGATCTGACCCTTACTGATGACAACAACAGAGACTGTCTGATGTTGGCATGTGAGAGAGGGAACATAAATATAGTGAAACATGTCTTGTCAATGAAAACATGTGACATCAACAGGCGGGGAGGAGAGTTGAAACAAACACCAGTTATGATGGCATTGGAAGAAGGACACGATGATGTTTATCATCTCCTTGTGTCTGAGGGTGCAGATCTGACACTTACTGATGACAACATCACAGACTAGTATATTGTTACCTGTATTTATGTAACTCGACACCAAACTCACGAGGGCTGCATGCATCTGGCACCCTTCCTCCACCAGTGTCTGAGCAAGGTCTGTTCATGTGAGTGGAGGAAAAGGCAGGACAACGGGATGATGTTCCTGGTTGATTCATCGTTGAGAATTCACACTGGCATCACAATAGATTCCTTGCCACACCATGACAATCGACCTCGAGTTCAAAACAAACATGCCTGCCATTTCCCTCATCGGTGGTGTACTCTGATATTCCTATCATCGTTGGCATCGACCTTTTTATCACAAAAGAACAGTCTTTGCCAGTTGCTGTTTTGCCACTAACAAATTATGTGTGTGTACCTGGGTGGTGGTGCTAACTCTGAATGAGTTATAGCCACATAAGTACCACCCACTTATAACCCCCTAGTATTCATTCTATACATATTTACATATATACATGTTCATCTATTATCACCATCACTTCATTCTGTGTTCATTATATGTTGTCCTTGTCTGCAGTTGAATGTCAGCCAACTAACATCAACCCTGATACCCTTTTGCAGCCTCTGTAATTTCTCCAGCTTCACCTGGACTTCCCCCTATCTATTTTTAGATATGTCCACCACTTCATATGACTGTGAAGCATCTTGACTTCCTTTAATACCTGTCAGATGCTACCTTTCTTCTGATTGACCCTTTGATCCAGTTCTTTAAACTTCCTTCTCATCTGCCTCTCTGCTCAGGTGAGAATCTTGGCATGATTGTTACTTTATGTAAATTCTGATGCAAACTGTCAGTGTTACAGTGCCTTTATACCCTTTGGAGATCATTCTGCACGTGTATTGCCTTTTGATTATTTAAAGTCAATTCTTACATATTTGAGTTTTCAAAAACCGTCATGCTGCTTGAGACCCGTTAAATTCTTCAGCAACCCATGCTTGCTTTAAAAGGCAACTATGCTTGTTGTAGGAGGCGACTAACAGGATCGGGGGGTAAGGCTCACTGACTTGGTTGATGCATGTTATGGATCCCAATTGCGTAGATTGTCACGATGTAAATGACTGGATTGTCTGGTCTCCATTATTTACAGACCACCGTCATATAGCTGGAATACTGCTGAGTGCGGTGTAAAACAACAAACAAACACACTCACATGTTGCTTGAAGCATAGTATTAGTGCACTAGTATTGTAGAAGTGTATACAGCAGTAAGGTGTTGTAGTGGTGTATACAGCAGTATGTTGTAGTGGTGTATACAGCAGTAAGGTGTTGTAGTGGTGTATACAGAAGTATGTTGTAGTGGTGTATACAGCAGTATGATGGTGTAGTGGTGTATACAGCAGTATGATGGTGTAGTGGTGTATACAGCAGTATGTTGTAGTGGTGTATACAGCTGTAAGGTGTTGTAGTGGTGTGTACAGCAGTATGTTGTAGTGGTGTCAACAGCAGTAGGATGGTGTAGTGGTGTATACAGCAGTATGATGTAGTGGTGTATACAGCAGTATGATGGTGTAGTGGTGTATACAGCAGTAAGGTGTTGTAGTGGTGTATACAGCTGTAAGGTGTTGTAGTGGTGTATACAGCAGTAAGGTGTTGTAGTGATGTATACAGCAGTATGGTGTTGTAGTGGTGTATACAGCAGTAAGGTGTTGCAGTGGTGTATACAGCAGTATGGTGTTGTAGTGGTGTATACAGCTGTAATGTGTTGTAGTGGTGTTTACAGCAGTAAGGTGTTGTAGTGGTGTATACAGCAGTAAGGTGCTGTAGTGGTGTATACAGCAGTATGATGTTGCAGTGGTGTATACAGCAGTAAGGTGTTGTAGTGGTGTATACAGCAGTAAGGTGTTGTAGTGGTGTATACAGCAGTAAGGTGTTGTAGTGGTGTATACAGCAGTAAGGTGTTGTAGTGGTGTATACAGCAGTATGATGTAGTGGTGTATACAGCAGTATGATGGTGTAGTGGTGTATACAGCAGTAAGGTGGTGTATACAGCTGTAAGGTGTTGTAGTGGTGTATACAGCAGTAAGGTGTTGTAGTGGTGTATACAGCAGTAAGGTGTTGTAGTGGTGTATACAGCAGTAAGGTGTTGTAGTGGTGTATACAGCAGTAAGGTGTTGTAGTGGTGTATACAGCAGTATGATGTAGTGGTGTATACAGCAGTAAGGTGGTGTATACAGCTGTAAGGTGTTGTAGTGATATATACAGCAGTAAGGTGTTGTAGTGGTGTATACAGCAGTAAGGTGTTGTAGTGGTGTATACAGCAGTAAGGTGTTGTAGTGGTGTATACAGCAGTATGATGTAGTGGTGTATACAGCAGTATGATGGTGTAGTGGTGTATACAGCAGTAAGGTGGTGTATACAGCTGTAAGGTGTTGTAGTGATATATACAGCAGTAAGGTGTTGTAGTGGTGTATACAGCAGTAAGGTGTTGTAGTGGTGTATACAGCAGTAAGGTGTTGTAGTGGTGTATACAGCAGTATGATGTAGTGGTGTATACAGCAGTATGATGGTGTAGTGGTGTATACAGCAGTAAGGTGGTGTATACAGCTGTAAGGTGTTGTAGTGATATATACAGCAGTAAGGTGTTGTAGTGGTGTATACAGCAGTAAGGTGTTGTAGTGGTGTATACAGCAGTAAGGTGTTGCAGTGGTGTATACAGCAGTAAGGTGTTGTAGTGGTGTATACATCAGTAAGGTGTTGTAGTGGTGTATACAGCAGTAAGGTGTTGTAGTGGTGTATACAGCAGTAAGGTGTTGTAGTGGTGTATACAGCAGTATGATGTAGTGGTGTATACAGCAGTATGATGGTGTAGTGGTGTATACAGCAGTAAGGTGGTGTATACAGCTGTAAGGTGGTGTATACAGCTGTAAGGTGTTGTAGTGGTGTATACAGCAGTAAGGTGCTGTAGTGGTGTATACAGCTGTATGATGTAGTGGTGTATACAGCAGTATGATGGTGTAGTGGTGTATACAGCAGTAAGGTGTTGTAGTGGTGTATACAGCAGTATGGTGTTGTAGTGGTGTATACAGCAGTAAGGTGTTGTAGTGGTGTATACAGTAGTATGGTGTTGTAGTGGTGTATACAGCTGTAATGTGTTGTAGTGGTGTTTACAGCAGTAAGGTGTTGTAGTGGTGTATACAGCAGTAAGGTGCTGTAGTGGTGTATACAGCAGTATGATGTTGCAGTGGTGTATACAGCAGTAAGGTGTTGTAGTGGTGTATACAGCAGTAAGGTGTTGTAGTGATGTATACAGCAGTATGGTGTTGTAGTGGTGTATACAGCAGTAAGGTGTTGCAGTGGTGTATACAGCAGTATGGTGTTGTAGTGGTGTATACAGCTGTAATGTGTTGTAGTGGTGTTTACAGCAGTAAGGTGTTGTAGTGGTGTATACAGCAGTAAGGTGCTGTAGTGGTGTATACAGCAGTATGATGTTGCAGTGGTGTATACAGCAGTAAGGTGTTGTAGTGGTGTATACAGCAGTAAGGTGTTGTAGTGGTGTATACAGCAGTAAGGTGTTGTAGTGGTGTATACAGCAGTAAGGTGTTGTAGTGGTGTATACAGCAGTATGATGTAGTGGTGTATACAGCAGTATGATGGTGTAGTGGTGTATACAGCAGTAAGGTGGTGTATACAGCTGTAAGGTGTTGTAGTGGTGTATACAGCAGTAAGGTGTTGTAGTGGTGTATACAGCAGTAAGGTGTTGTAGTGGTGTATACAGCAGTAAGGTGTTGTAGTGGTGTATACAGCAGTAAGGTGTTGTAGTGGTGTATACAGCAGTATGATGTAGTGGTGTATACAGCAGTAAGGTGGTGTATACAGCTGTAAGGTGTTGTAGTGATATATACAGCAGTAAGGTGTTGTAGTGGTGTATACAGCAGTAAGGTGTTGTAGTGGTGTATACAGCAGTAAGGTGTTGTAGTGGTGTATACAGCAGTATGATGTAGTGGTGTATACAGCAGTATGATGGTGTAGTGGTGTATACAGCAGTAAGGTGGTGTATACAGCTGTAAGGTGTTGTAGTGATATATACAGCAGTAAGGTGTTGTAGTGGTGTATACAGCAGTAAGGTGTTGTAGTGGTGTATACAGCAGTAAGGTGTTGTAGTGGTGTATACAGCAGTATGATGTAGTGGTGTATACAGCAGTATGATGGTGTAGTGGTGTATACAGCAGTAAGGTGGTGTATACAGCTGTAAGGTGTTGTAGTGATATATACAGCAGTAAGGTGTTGTAGTGGTGTATACAGCAGTAAGGTGTTGTAGTGGTGTATACAGCAGTAAGGTGTTGCAGTGGTGTATACAGCAGTAAGGTGTTGTAGTGGTGTATACATCAGTAAGGTGTTGTAGTGGTGTATACAGCAGTAAGGTGTTGTAGTGGTGTATACAGCAGTAAGGTGTTGTAGTGGTGTATACAGCAGTATGATGTAGTGGTGTATACAGCAGTATGATGGTGTAGTGGTGTATACAGCAGTAAGGTGGTGTATACAGCTGTAAGGTGGTGTATACAGCTGTAAGGTGTTGTAGTGGTGTATACAGCAGTAAGGTGCTGTAGTGGTGTATACAGCTGTATGATGTAGTGGTGTATACAGCAGTATGATGGTGTAGTGGTGTATACAGCAGTAAGGTGTTGTAGTGGTGTATACAGCAGTATGGTGTTGTAGTGGTGTATACAGCAGTAAGGTGTTGTAGTGGTGTATACAGTAGTATGGTGTTGTAGTGGTGTATACAGCTGTAATGTGTTGTAGTGGTGTTTACAGCAGTAAGGTGTTGTAGTGGTGTATACAGCAGTAAGGTGCTGTAGTGGTGTATACAGCAGTATGATGTTGCAGTGGTGTATACAGCAGTAAGGTGTTGTAGTGGTGTATACAGCAGTAAGGTGTTGTAGTGGTGTATACAGCAGTAAGGTGTTGTAGTGGTGTATACAGCAGTAAGGTGTTGTAGTGGTGTATACAGCAGTATGATGTAGTGGTGTATACAGCAGTATGATGGTGTAGTGATGTATACAGCAGTAAGGTGGTGTATACAGCTGTAAGGTGTTGTAGTGATATATACAGCAGTAAGGTGTTGTAGTGGTGTATACAACAGTAAGGTGTTGTAGTGGTGTATACAGCAGTAAGGTGTTGCAGTGGTGTATACAGCAGTAAGGTGTTGTAGTGGTGTATACATCAGTAAGGTGTTGTAGTGGTGTATACAGCAGTAAGGTGTTGTAGTGGTGTATACAGCAGTAAGGTGTTGTAGTGGTGTATACAGCAGTATGATGTAGTGGTGTATACAGCAGTATGATGGTGTAGTGGTGTATACAGCAGTAAGGTGGTGTATACAGCTGTAAGGTGGTGTATACAGCTGTAAGGTGTTGTAGTGGTGTATACAGTGGTGTATACAGCAGTAAGGTGTTGTAGTGGTGTATACAGCAGTATGATGTAGTGGTGTATACAGCAGTATGATGGTGTAGTGGTGTATACAGCAGTAAGGTGTTGTAGTGGTGTATACAGCAGTAAGGTGTTGTAGTGGTGTATACATCAGTAAGGTGTTGTAGTGGTGTATACAGCAGTAAGGTGGTGTATACAGCAGTAAGGTGTTGTAGTGGTGTATACAGCAGTATGATGTAGTGGTGTATACCGCAGTATGATGGTGTAGTGGTGTATACAGCAGTAAGGTGGTGTATACAGCTGTAAGGTGGTGTATACAGCTGTAAGGTGTTGTAGTGGTGTATACAGCAGTAAGGTGCTGTAGTGGTGTATACAGCAGTAAGGTGTTGTAGTGGTGTATACAGCAGTAAGGTGTTGTAGTGGTGTATACAGCAGTAAGGTGTTGTAGTGGTGTATACAGCAGTAAGGTGTTGCAGTGGTGTATACAGCAGTATGATGTAGTGGTGTATACAGCAGTAATGTGCTGTAGTGGTGTATACAGCAGTATGATGTTGCAGTGGTGTATACAGCAGTAAGGTGTTGTAGTGGTGTATACAGCAGTAAGGTGTTGTAGTGGTGTATATAGCAGTGGGGTGTTGTAGTGGTGTATATAGCAGTAAGGTGTTGTAGTGGTGTATACAGCAGTAAGGTGTTGTAGTGGTGTATATAGCAGTGGGGTGTTGTAGTGGTGTATATAGCAGTAAGGTGTTGCAGTGGTGTATACAGCAGTAAGGTGTTGTAGTGGTGTATACATCAGTAAGGTGTTGTAGTGGTGTTTTCAGCAGTATGATGTTGTAGTGATGTATACAGCAGTAAGGTGTTGTAGTGGTGTATACAGCAGTAAGGTGTTGTAGTGGTGTTTACAGCAGTATGATGTTGCAGTGGTGTATACAGCAGTAAGGTGTTGTAGTGGTGTATACAGCAGTATGATGTTGTAGTGATGTATACAGCAGTAAGGTGTTGTAGTGGTGTATACAGGAGTAATGTGTTGTAGTGGTGTATACAGCAGTAAGGTGTTGTGGTGTATACAGCAGTAAGGTGTTGTAGTTGTGTATACAGCAGTATGGTGTTGTAGTGGTGTATACAGCAGTAAGGTGTTGTAGTGGTGTATACAGCAGTAAGGTGTTGTAATGGTGTATACAGCAGTATGGTGTTATAGTGGTGTATACAGCAGTAAGGTGTTGTAGTGGTGTATACAGCAGTAAGGTGTTGTAGTGGTGTATACAGCAGTATGATGTTATAGTGGTGTATACAGCAGTAAGGTGTTGTAGTGGTGTATACAGCAGTAAGGTGTTGTAGTGGTGTATACAGCAGTATGGTGTTATAGTGATGTATACAGCAGTAAGGTGTTGTAGTGATGTATACAGCAATAAGATGTTGTAGTGGTGTATACAGCTATAAGGTGTTGTACTGCTGTATATAGCATTCCAACTATATCATAAGCATGTGTTTATGAATTACTGTTAAATAGTGATGACACCATATATTGCAATACCATGGCACCATCTTGTTTGATGTACCGGTTATTAATCAATTGTATATATTTAGAAAGGGTAATGCATCTGTAGTATTTTTCGTGTAATGTAGACAACATGCCACATGTTAGATTTTTTTCTACTTTGTCTGTCATGATCTATGATAGTGAATATATCCTCACATGGTTTAGACATACTTGTAGTGTGGATTCAGGTGTATGGTAGATGTCGCCTTGTATTACTATTGGTGAAGTAGTATTGATGACCAAACACATGTCTATTTTTACTGGATATGAATGATGTAATATTGTGTGTTTGTGTGTGGCATTTTATTATTTAACCTGGCATTGCATTGATATGCATAATGTCATGTAAGTAGCATTGTATAGTGTTGTAGCATTGTATATAACATTGTGTTGTGTTGTAGTGGTGTATATAACATTGTATAGTGTTGTATTTGTGTATATAGCATTGTGTAGTGTTGTATATAACATTGTATAGTGTTGTTATTGTGTATATAGCATTGTGTAGTGTTGTAGTGGTGTATATAACATTGTATAGTGTTATTGTGTTTATAGCATTGTGTTGTGTTGTAGTGGTGTATATAACATTGTATAGTGTTGTTATTGTGTATATAGCATTGTGTAGTGTTGTATATAACATTGTATAGTGTTATTGTGTTTATAGCATTGTGTTGTGTTGTAGTGGTGTATATAACATTGTATACTGTTGTTATTGTGTATATAGCATTGTGTAGTGTTGTAGTGGTGTTTATAGCATTGTGTAGTGGTGTAGTATTGTATATAGCATTGTATAGTGTTGTAATTGTGTATATAGCATTGTATAGTGTTGTAGTGATGTATATAGGATTGTGTAGTGTTGTAGTGGTGTATATAGCATTGTATAGTGTTGTAGTGTTGTATATAGCATTGTGTAATGTTGTAGTGGTGTATATAGGATTGTGTAGTGTTGTTGGAAAGATGTCACTTAAGTGAATGTATTATAAAACCGTGTGTCAGCAAAATGTGTGAGAAAAACCCAAAGTGATGCAGGTCTCGGACGTTAACCACTTTGGTGAAACCCACGAGCACAGGCATGGTGCTGACAAAACTTGGAACAAGTTTGGGGGGGACTCAGGGTCATATGTGACGCAATTCTGCACATCAAATTGCGTCACCTTAGATGACTGGCTACCTGTGACTTCCACTTAACTTGAATAGAGATTGAAGTGGATCGGTGTGTGGTCAGGCGCGGCGATTCGTTTGATTGCATCCCCAACATCCCCCCCCCCCCCCCCCATTCCCCATTTTAGGATACCATAGTGGCAGCACAAACATGCGGTTAATAACAATAGGTAGCATAGACTTCATTATCATGAGGTTAATAGCATGAACGTTTATGAATCTGATACCATGAGGTTGAGGTTGAGGTTGGTGGCCTGAGCTGTGGATAGTTTGTGCTGTGGATAGTCAAACATGAGGTTTATAGCATGAGCTGTGGATAGTTTGTGCTGTGAATAGTACAAACATGAGGTTTATAGCATGAGCTGTGGATAGTTTGAAATGTTCATAGCACAAGCAGGAGGTAATAAAGTTGAAAGCATGATTTGTTTTATAGTTTTGTGTTTAACACTGCCTCAACCATAAGAGTGAGTGAGTCTGATTATGGTTTTACGCCGCTTTTAGCAATATTCCAGCAATATCACGGCGGTGGACACCAGAAATGGACTTCACACATTGTACCAATGTCGGGAAGTGAAACTGGGTCTTCAGTGGGAAGAGCGACCGCTTTAACCACAAGCTAGGCTACGCCACCGGCCCCTCAGCTGGAGCAGACAATCCGGTGACTGTTATTATGAACAACGATAAACATCTTTGGGATAGGATGACATGCTATGAGCCAGTCTGACAACCTTATCCATTACGTGGCGCCATTGCACAGGTTGTTGGAGAGGAGATAGCAATGGCTTAATGGCATTAGCATGGTGTTGATGACATGGGCATGGGGTTGGTGGACCAAACAATCCAGGGACTGACATTGTGAACAACCATCCACACTGTAGGGATACTTAAAAGGCGACTAACAGGATCAGGTGGTCAGGCTTGCTGACTTGGTTGATACATGTCATTAATCCCAATTGCATGGATCCATGCTCATGATATGAATCACTGGCTTGTCTAGTCCAGACTTGATTATTTACAGACCACCATGATAGAGCTGGAATATTGCTGAGTGCGGCGTTAAACAACAAACAAGCAACGGGTGGTTGTTCTCTGGGACATGGCAGATTGCGTATCGTCGATGTTTGGATCATGTTTGTGAAGTGGATGATTTTTGCATTTTACTTCACCTGACAATTCTTGAAGGTGACTTGATTTGAACAAATCTTGGTGACTTGGTGCATGTCATTGTATCCAAATTGCATGGCTTGATGCTCATGATATCAATCACTGGATAGTCTGGTTGAGCATGAGGTTGATAGCATGAACAACATCAGATGCCTAACAATAATCCAGGTCAAACATAAGACGATCATAACTACTAAAGACCTATTTGTGGGAAGGCCAAAAGACAACAACCAATCACTGATAGCAATATACACACATCTTTATTTATGTACAAAAAGTGTGCACATCATAGGGTCCAGTTAAAGATAATCCTCCAATGCCATCTGGTGTGTGCTCCAATACATTCAACTAAATCCTTAAATATTCATACATCATCTTAACTAACAGAATCATCACAGACAGATACCTTCACTATTTTATCCATCCAGTTTGGATTTGTGGACAAGCAAGTGCACTCCCTTTAAAACAGAGAAATATGCTTTATTATACCTACAACCCCGAAAGAGGATGACCGTATATGACTATTCTTTTCATCTCTGTTCAGGGCCAACAAATTTGCAGTCCACATACGACACGTCGTAAAACGGTCGCAAAGTAGCATCACATCCCACCACGTAACACTTTCGTAACTCACGTGAATTCTTACAAATATCATTTTGAACTCTTAAGCTGCAAAGTATATTCATGTAAAGATTGCGACCCTGTGCCTAACTGTGCCTAACTGTGCCTAATCTGCTGCTAACAAACCTGACTAGTCTACAGACGAACCATAACAGAATTCAACGACTTCTGACGTTTTGCATTGAAACAACCAATCCCCAATTTTAGTCAGCTCTAACGGAAATCACTTTGACCAGGGGGCTGCCCCGCAACCTCAACTAAATATTGATATGTGTTTTATTAAAAGAACTGGATGGCAATGCAGTCCGTGCCAAAAATATTGTGCCAAAACCTGAACTTGTCACATAACACCATTTCAAACATATTTTAGTATTATATTATTAATTTAGTATGTGGTTCAATTTGCTAAGCTTATGGACAGAAAGACATTTTACTAGACGTGGGCTGAGGACCAGTGGTTAAAGTCACAGCCTGGTAATGAGCAGTGATAATGAGTGAGTGAGTGAGTGAGTATGGTTTTAGCAATATTCTAGCAATATCACGGCGGTGGACACCAGAAATGGACTTCACACATTGTACCCATGTCAGGAATCAAACTCAGGTCTTTGGCGTGACGAGCAAACGCTTTAACCACTAGGCTACGGACTGAGCTGTATTAAAAGTGGTTCAAATATTAGGTGAATTGAAATATTATGCCCAAGGAGCTTAATCCTTTGTAAATCCTTCAAATCAAAATGTTCCAATATGCATTTCTGTGAAGACAAGCACATTACCAGTAATACAGATATTGTCATTTTAAATATGCAATGTAAAACATTATATCGCTTGAAGAGATCAGGATTCATGCTGTATTACGTTGAGATTCCTAACATCTTGAGTATGGTTTAATACTGCTTTTAGCAATATTCCAGCAATATCAAGGCGGGGAACACCAGAAATGGGCCCCACACATTTTATCATGTAGGGAATCAAATACTGGCCTTCAGCGTGACGAGCAAACGCTTCAACCACTAGGCTACTTCATCGGTCTGACGATGCGAGATGTGATTTATTTTTATAACAAGGAAATTATTCACCAAAACACAACACCTACATATCAATTATCAAATGGGGTTTAATGTGAGCAACAACATGTTGACCACAATGTCATTTAGCTGATACAAAACTTTTCCTTGGATGCCTAAAATTGAATTTTGAAAGAGAAATAAGTGTAAAATGAATGCCCTCAAAAATAGAATATCATATTGAAAATTAAACTTTAATAGCTTTAACAAAGCGAGATTGTAGATCTTGTACATCTATTATCTTGTGTATTATATCTCCATACTATTTTGATCAATATCCTGGATCCATATCAGAAGTGAACTGACAGGCTCCATCACTGCTATCTCAAACGCAAAACAACTGTCTCTCAGTGAGGAAGTGTGTTGTTTAATGCCTCACTCAGCAATACTCCGGGTATATGACAGCGGTCTGGCGATAATCAAATCAGACAAGCCAGCGATTCTTTACGCTGTCGATGTACTTAAACACATTATTCACAAAGTCCAGGATCACCACATACAATAAGTTGCCTTTTAAGACCAGGGCCTAGATTTTCGAAAAGATCTCAGCTAAGATAAATCTTAACTACTTATGTTCAAAGATAAGATATCTTAAAGCTAAGATAAGATAGATTTTCAAAACAATCATAAACCTGTCGCAGATCGCTCAGAGCTACGACACCTATCTGTAGCGGAAGAATAGCTCGAAGTCATCAAGCATATCAAGGCGACGAGTTCTGTCTCGGAATATCCTTGGTCTTGTCATCAAATCATTGTCATCTTCATCATGAAAAATGTCCAGAGCAAAGTATGCCGCCATCTTGGATGTGGATAAAATAAACTTACCACAGGTATAGGGCTATCTTAGATTTACGACAAACTTAAGATATCTTAGGGCTACGATAGTTTCGAAAATAGGCTACAATAGCCTACGATTTCCTTACGATAACTTTACGATAATTTTAGGGCTAAGATCGTTTCGAAAATCTAGGCCCAGCATCAGTTGCTATGGACTGTTTCTAACCCCAAATTCCAAAATTGGATGTTCTTATTTATTAATTTGTTACAAGGTGAGTGAGTGAGTGAGTGTGGTTTAACGCCGCTTTTAGCAATATTCCAGCAATATCAAGGCAGAAATGGGCTTCACACATTGTTCCCATGTCGAACCTCAGATCTTTGGCGTGACAAGCTATGCTTTAACCACTAGGCTACCCCGTCGCCCTTGTTACAAGGTCTTCCAAAACAGCCGAAAGTGTCAAAACCTAGGGCTGTACTGAATCACGTTGTAGTCAGTTGATACAGGTCATATGATACAAGATGCATGGGAATGTGTCATTGGATGAACTGTATTCCATTATCAAAGAGAACGACTTTACACCCCATCAAAATATATTACATAACCCTTAAGAAACTAACACATTGTGCAAGAAAATTTTTTTTTGTAGTTGATATATAAATGTAATGTCTTGTATCAATGAATGACCTCAGAAGAAAATGTTTATATCACAGCAAAGAATATTGCAGTGATAGTGTATTGAACCATTACAGTCCAGGGTGCCTTTGTACAAAGTGATCTTAGCGCTAAGGTGATCGTAACTCCCACACCTTAACATAGACTTACGACAGTCGTAGTGCTAAGGTTGTTTTGATATTGTAAGCGGCACCCAAGGGCCCTGTTCCATTAAGCGATCATTGTGCTACGACTGTCGTAAGTCGATGTTAAAGTATGGGACTTACGATCACCTTAGCGCTAAGATCACTTTGTGGAACGGGGCCCTCATAAATGGAGTCTTGCACTGTGTGTTACAACATCTGCTCCAAATCCATATACAGTCCATCAGACAACATCAAATAATAAATCTATGACAGCTGTCTAATAAATAAACAAAGATTATCTCCCCATCTTTATCCAAATAGGAGAACTGTAGAAAGTCTAGCATATTTAAGTCCTATCTTCACATCAAACTTCAGCAGATATTTTTATAAAAATATTTAAATCTATACCACGTCTACATCCTCCAAGAACCTAAAACAACAATCACGGCCAAATGAATCATTTTCTCCTAGCCTGTGACACTGTTGCCTCATAAACGTACTTCCATCTTGACAGACTTTGTCACCCTAAGGAATCAGCTGTGGGCTCAGGTGAGCTGAAAATGACAGCTTGTACTTTCTGTCCAGCATAATTATCACTTGATAACCTCATACAATAATTGATAGATCCTAAATAAAAAATCCTTAATAGTGAGTGAGCATGGTTTTACGTCGCTTTTAGCAATATTCCAGCAATATCACGGCAGGGGACACCAGAAATGGTCTTCACACATTGTACCCATGTTGGGAATCGAAATCAGGTCTTCAGCCAGACGAGCGAACGCTTTAACCACTAGGCTACCTGACCGCCCCAGATCCTAAATATAAAAAAAATGTCAATATTCGTAGCTTGCAGGAATTAGTAACAGACTTCTCTCGGTTTTCTTTATGCAGTGAATTCCTAGACCAATCTATTATGTTAATGATATGTCTGCTGTAAATTTGCACCTGTATATATCACTTAATTTATTTCTTTTTTCTCTCAATATTTCAGAATAATTTTAAAATAAACCTGCACAATTTTTAGATTTTTTTCTCTTACTCAAGTTTGGCTTGTTGGCCAGGAGTATCCACAAACTTAGAGCATTAATTGTTCCAGCCTACCTGTAACCATGACCTATATAATGTCAAGCAAATTCTTAACTAATGTTGCGTGGACGCATTCCATATTCACAGTACATTTTCTGTCATTAAACATCTTCTGTCATGTTCCTTTGTCAAACACCTGTCAGCTGTCCACTTTTCTTCCACCAATATTGCTTATATTTGTCAAGATGAAATAATAGTTAATCACTGTAATGAATTTTTTTCCACTTTCCATTCTTCAATTTTCCTGTTCTCCTAGCTGAATTCCAAGTGGAAATGATTCCATATTCCTCACAAAATGTCATCCCATCCTTCAGATGTATTCCAATATTAACCTTTTCAATAACAATTCACACTCTGCATACAATCCAATCCTCCAGCCTCGATGTGGTCTTCAACGGGTGTCCTCGTAGCCCTGCATCAAGGGAGGTCGAGGATTAGGCTGATTTTGGAGATATTTGAGCGCTAGTGACGATGCAGTCGGTATGAGGGCTAGAGAGTGTGAGACACACACACACACAAACACACACAGCTGTATCACGCTACGTAGCTGTACTCGTCTGTCGTGTTAGCTGTCCTTTCTAGGTACTGTTTGTCTATGAGGGTCTCTATACACTTCTTGATCATGCTGATGCTGGGGTTGAAGCGGGACCGCGACTGGCTGATCACCTGAAACAAGCACAATACATTGCTGGAATAACAGTGGCTGGATGGGGGAGTGGGTGGGAGAGTGGGTGGGGGAGTGGGTGTGGGTGTGGGTGTGGGTGTGGGTGTGGGTGTGGGTGAGGTGTGGGTGTGGGTGGTGGTGTGGGTGTGGGTGTGGGTGTGGGTGTGGAAGTATGTGTGGGTGAGGTGTGGGTGTGGGTGTGGGTGTGGGTGTGGGTGAGGTGTGGGTGTGGGTGTGGGAATGGGTGTGGGTGTGGGTGTGGGTGTGGGTGAGGTGTGGGTGTGGGTGGTGGTGTGGGTGTGGGTGAGGTGTGGGTGTGGGTGTGGAAGTATGTGTGGGTGTGGGTGTGGAAGTATGTGTGGGTGAGGTGTGGGTGTGGGTGAGGAAGTATGTGTGGGTGTGGGTGTGGGTGTGGGTGAGGGTGAGGGTGAGGGTGAGGAAGTATGTGTGGGTGTGGGTGTGGGTGAGGTGTGGGTGTGGGTGTGGAAGTATGTGTGGGTGTGGGTGAGGTGTGGGTGTGGGTGAGGAAGTATGTGTGGGTGAGGTGTGGGTGTGGGTGAGGAAGTATGTGTGGGTGTGGGTGTGGGTGAGGTGTGGGTGTGGGTGTGGAAGTATGTGTGGGTGTGGGTGAGGTGTGGGTGTGGGTGAGGAAGTATGTGTGGGTGTGGGTGTGGGTGAGGGTGAGGTGTGGGTGTGGGTGTGGGTGTGGAAGTATGTGTGGGAGTGGGTGTGGGTGAGGTGTGGGTGAGGTCTGAGTGTGGGTGTGGGTGAGGTGTGAGTGTGGGTTTGGGAGTGGGTGTGGGTGTGGGTGGGTGTGGATGGGTGGTTGAGTGATTGGGTGGGTGGTTGAGTGATTGGGTGGGTGGTTGAGTGGTTGGGAGGGTGGGGGAGTGAGTGTTTGGGTAGGAGAATGGTTGAGTGGGGGGAGTGGGTGAGTGAGTGATCAGTGAGTGGTTGAGTAGTTGAGGGAGTGGGTGGGGGGTGGGTGGTTTAGTGAGTGGGTGGGTGGGAGAGTGGTTGAATTAGTGACTGAGTGAGTGGTTGAGAGAGTGAAAGTAAGGGTGATTGAGTGGGCGTTTGGGTGAGTGAGTGAGTGAGTGAGTGAGTGGGTGAGAGTGTTATGTGGTGTTTAATTCTGTTTTGAACAGCATCATGTCATGTCAGATAAACACAGCCGGAAAGTCCAAGATCTTAGACATTTACAACTTTGTGAACACATGATTGAGTGGCGTCACTTTTGAACAATATTTCAGTTACATCCTGACATATTACACTCCTACAGACCAAGGATAATAATCAGAGTGAATCTTAAATTCGAACTCGGGACCAGCAGATCATGGCAGTTTTGAGATTCAACTATGGACAGTGACATTCAGTGGCTGAGGCTACTGGACCACCTGCGCGCCTCATGAATGTGGAATATCTACATAAGGCAGTATATGCACACTCGCATCCTGACATTCCCAGCTTGATGTTCTTACCTCCTGTATGAGAAGATTATGTTTGAGAACCTTTCTCGCCTTCATGATGCGGACAATCGCAGCTTGCACATACATCTTACGATCTTCGTCCACGGCAGAGTGGGTCATTTCTACTTCCTGTAGTCAAAATCATACATAGTACAATCACATTTACAAAACAGTCAGACAGTTGGACATAACACTCTCACAATTTCACAATAATCAGATCTTTACTCCAATCTCATTAAAATCAGATCTTAGCTCTCGCTATCGCTAAAGAAAGAGTCGAGGACATCCGTTAATGGGTCACGTCAGGACGACCTTTCATCCGACCAATCAGTGCGTCGCTTACCAGATCATGAAAGTGAATGTGAAAATCATGCAACCTCGAAAACATTCCGAACGACAGTTCCAGCCCGTACTGATTCCGCCAAGATTATCGTCTATCTCTCGCCTCCGTGGGATAAACGTGTGAACAGAGGAGGCGTTGCACAGGATGTGGGAAGCACTGCCATGCAATCTCAACCATAAATTAGACCTTCCGGAAAGTTCTTTGTTCAGTTTTCAAAATTTCAATCTAGGACAGTGTCAACATATTTTTCAAGCATAGTCTGAAATGGAAGTCAACAGGTTGAAACGAGTGCCGTAAAGCTGCCTTCTAATCAGCTGATGTTGACTTCTTGTAAGTTATTTCAGTGGCGGGCAAATTTCGGAAAAGGTCGTTCTGACATGACCTGTAATGGGATGTCCTCAGATCTTTGTTTAGCAGCAGCAAGAACTTAGATCTGATTTTAATGAGATTGATCTTTACTCCGATATGATACGTCTCTGCATAAAGATCTGAATACACCTCCATATGAAACTTAGACCATCCTCTCTAAGTGAATAATGAGTGGGTTCTTGGGTTTATCAGCTTTCAAATTTTTTTTGCTTCTTTCTTTGCCCCCTCAATTCTGAAATTATGATTTTAGCAAAAGAAAAAACAAACACAAAGTCTGAAAGAGCACAAAAATACCCTGGATCCAACACCTGTTTTGGAATTAGATAACATGCCTACCCTCATTCAAAATAAAAATTGTTGCCATGGAATTGCAAAAAGAAAATAGTTAAAAGCACCAGTTGCGTGCATGCCTAATGTGTTTACAAACATTCATGAGTGAGTGACTTAAAATTTAATACAGCATCAGCATTATTTCAGCCACATAGCGACGTTCGTGAAGATATATTGAATGGTTTCACTGTTCTGCTCCAGAAAAGAAATGTGACGATGGATGGACAGGTGGAGCTTGTTTCTATGTGCATACTCCCGTAAAACTTTGTTTGAAAGGGGGATAACAATCACAGCCCATGACAAAACACACTCGTGACAATACAGTCACACCTCATGACAATACAGTCACACCCCAGGACAATACAGTCTCACCCAATGACAATACAGTCACATCCCAGGACAATACAGTCACACCCCAGGACAATACAGTCTCACCCCATGACAATACAGTCACACCCCAGGACAATACAGTCACATCCCAGGACAATACAGTCACACCCCATGACAATACAGTCACACCTCATGACAATTCAGTCACAACTCATGACATTATAGTCACACCTCATGACAATAGTCACAACCCATGACCATACAGTCACACCCCATGACAATACAGTCACACCTCATGACATTATAGTCACATCTCATGACAATAGTCACAACCCATGACAATATAGCCACAACACACCTGCATTAACACAACATACCTGTGGAGAATCTCTTTGTACAGCTGCAGTGATCTTGAACTTGGTCCTCTTGTTGTTGTAAGCTAAGTTTAACTCAAAGTCGCTCTGTGTCGTGATTTCCCCCTGTAACATAAGGTCATGTTGCTATTGCCCCACTATCCAAGACCAATCCATCAGACCAGACTACACTGGACATCTCTAACAGAAAACTCAAGGTAGATAAACATGGGTAGTTTTAACAACAAATCTGTATGTAGCCAGCAGCCTTTTAATCAGGGGTCCGGAAACCGTCATATGCGCCGGACATGTCCGATTGGGAATCTCAAATGTCCGTTTTAAAATATTGCTTACCGGACATTTTAAAAAGTATTGTCCGGACATTCTTAAATTTTGACCGGACATGATCAACAGTTAGGACTGAGCAGTTTCTGTCTGCAGTTGCAACACAATGAAGATTAACTACACTGACAAGCTTTGTTTGTTTTGATTGCTGTAAATACATCGTACCTACATGATAGTCCAATCGGTCAATCACTGTAATAGGCAATAAACTGAGTTGACACTGATTAATCGAGGATTAATTACTGAGAACATCTTGTTAATTTGAGTGAAAGGTGTTTACAACTGTACATTAATACCTTGCATCATCGATGTACCTCATTATCCTCACAATGCCACGATACGTAACCTCAGACAAGAAGCGAAAGCTTGACGACAGCCAGTCGACCGATGCAGATTAGTCGAGCGGATCTGCCAAACCCTCAAAGTCTGGACGATCATTTTGTAAGTCGTGGCTAACGACTTTCACTTGGTTGACATACAATGAGGATTTGCAGATTTTATTGTTTTCAGTAGCTAGTCGTATATTGAATCTTGATTGACCGCCATTTTGCTTTCTCGGACGATCGATATCCAATTTTTTTATGGTCAATAATTAAGTACAGATGAAAAAAGTATTCAAATAACTATTGCTATCAACGATATTTTAGTATTTGTGATTAAATTATCTGTCTTGTTTTTAAAAAAAATCTTTAGTTTAAAAAAAAACTTTTCCCGTGAGGTCACGTGATAACCAAATATGGGATAATAGTCTCGATCCAAATGTTACAACGCGTACACTTGAGCAGACTCATGAATATAACTCATGAATAGACCGTTCACTACGTTAACAGATCGTTATTATAACAAGAAACAAACGTATGTTTTCCATGTAAATCTAATATGATATTATTTGTTATTAATTGTCCGGTGAATTAAACAATTTAAATTGAAACAATTCATAATTCATCATATTATGAATACGTAAATTTGTAATGTGTGTGAAAAGTCGTACTAAAATACGCTATTTGAAGGGGGCGTGGCCTAAATGCAAATGTCCGATTGGGATTTTAAATTTTCCGGACCCCCGCTTTTAATACAGGCCTTTCTCCATCCAAACTGGCTACAACTAAATGGTGGAGATCGTGAAGTGGCAGAGACTGAAGTCAACTAGCCAACTAGCTGGGCTCTCAAATGTTATTTTCCTGCAATCTGAGATTAAATCTTGGCTTCCATTTGCCTCATTTCATAGTGATTTATGAGCAAATAAAGATAGTGTTTCACACATTACAAAATGGCAGCTGGCTGTTACTCTACCGAGATGATAAAATTAAAAAAAATAAACATACACGGAGAAAGGGTGAAATTTTGACAAACCAGATGGGCCATCTACTTTACGTTTCAGCAAGCCCTTTGTAATTCTATCTGGCCACGGGCCAACGGGCAGCAGTTAAAACGACCCCTGGGCGAATCTGGATTCGAATCCACGATCACAGGTTTCTGCCGTGCCCAAGGGACGCAACTCTGCACAGCGAATCGTGCACCTTAGAAGACTAGGCCACCTGTGCCCATTTGTGAGTTCGAGCAAAACTGAATGAGAATGCACCTTAAACAGAGTAGGAACAAATTAGATCAGGAGCAGACAATCTATAACATTAGGTTCACACAAGATAACTAGCATCTTCCCGAGGCAAGGGCATTAACAGACCATAAAAGTCCAGTTTCCACCCTTGCTGAACTAGGGTGCAATTCCTGGGTTCGATCGAAGCGCCACCTGTGGCTATTACGAGTTATCCCCTCCTATTGACCAATCAGATTCTACCTCACTTATCATTTACATTTGCTTCAAACAAAATGGTGGCGCCCAGTCAAGATGATCTTACCTCTGAACTGCATCAAATCGCGTGAGCACCTTGATTAAAAACATGAAAAGATTTGTAACGCGATTTAGACTGGACTATGCATGGACTCGTTAGTCCAGCCAAAATGTAACCATAATTGCAGCCTAGTTCGGCAAGGGTGACTGGACTTTTGGAGTCAGTTAACTCCCTTGCCTCGGGAAGATCCACAACTGGATGACAAACTTACTTCATGTGAGATAATTTTGGTATCTATGAGTGACTGTAGTTGTTTGACCAACTCTCGTTCAGGTAGCGTTGTGTGTTTCTGTATAAAGCTGAATGCAAGCTTGTCCACACTGTCGGCGCTGTTAAACAGCAGTAGGATGCCCATATGGAACGTGCCCATCGTCACAAAGTACGTCTTCTTCAGATAGTTAAACTTCATTTCAACTGGAACAGACGTAAATCAATAATGCATATATGTGTTGGTCCTTACTGCAGGCTTGTCCAAAAAAGTCAGTGAGCGAGGGAAGATTTAAAATAACACATCCAAAAAAGGACACAGTTATATGTATAAGCATCAACACTCCTGTGTTAAGACATCAATTGGTTGTTTGTTTGTTGTTTATCACTACACTCGGCAATATTCTGGCCATATGATGGCGGTCTACGAATAATAGAGTTTGGACCTGACAATTCAGTGATTGACACCATGAACATTGATCTATGCACAGGAGTGAGTGAGTGTGGTTTTACGCCCCTTTTAGCAATATTCCAGCAATATCACAGCAAGGGACACCACAAATGGGTTTCACACATTATACCCATGTCAGGAATCGAACCCAGGTCTACAGCATGACGAGCGAATGCTTTAACCACTAGGCTACCCCTCCGCCCCTATATGCACAGGAAGACAAAGACAACTGAAACTGTTTTAAGTTCTGTCTTTCTTTTCACATACCACAAATTAGTGTTAATCAAATATCATTATGATATATGGAGAAACAGGCCGAGCAACTGACATTTTCAATATGTCTGACATGGCGGCCATATTTAGAATCAAATCAGAACTCTGTGAGGTCCTTGGGGAGACACAATAATTTGATCAATCTTGCAAAGACCTTGTGGTTCTTCGAAGATATAAAAAAAATTAAAAGCTTACAACAAACAGATGACAAACATCATGCCAAGCTTAAACTAGAAAATAATACTCAAAGAATTACGTAAATGTCTTACCATTACAAAAGCTATGCATCCAGGCTAACTTTCTACCACTGAAATTTTTGTTGTAGAAAAGTTCAAACTGCAACAGAAATATAAACATATAATACATATCCATATTGCAGTGTATCATATCTCTATTCTATAACGATATATACCACGGACCCAATCACCACAGACCCAGGACAGATCATTACAGCTATGTAAACATTACTTAAGTTTGTTTGTTTGTTAGTTTGTTGTTTAACAGAGCACTCAGCAATATTCCTGCTATATGATGGCAGTCTGTAAATAATCAAGACCAGACAATCCAGTGATTGACATCATGAGCATTTATCCACACAATTGGGATACGATGACATGCATCAACCAAGTCAGCGAGCGTGTCAGCTTAATGTGGGAGGAAAGCCCGAAGTGATGCAGGCCTCAGACATTTACCACTTCAGTGAAACCCACGAGCACAGGTATGGTGCTGACAAACCTAGAAACATAATCAGGGCGAACCGGGATTCGAACCCACAATCATAGGTTTCTGGCGTGCCCAAGGGACGCAACTCTGCACAGCGAATTGCGGTGAAGACTGGGCCACCCGTGTCCCCACTACAGTCAATGGCATGACAGATTAACTCTAGCAATATGAAAGAATTGCTAATCCTCACCATGATTTTAGTTGTATATATTCAATGCATGTCAAGGATAAATTCTCTAAATTTTCTCACCATTCTAACACTCCTTTCCAGCTCCTGAGGTAAGGCAAATGAAGGAAGATTACTCTGAGCTATCGGCCAGGCCCCAGCCTACAAGAAAACAGGAAGATGAAAATGAGTTTATTAGTTTGTTTGTTTGATGTTTAGCAATACGGACACACTTTGAAAATGCATTTTTAAATGATTGAAAACATTTGGCAAAATGGACACAAAAATCAAATAAAGTCGTTCTTTGTATTTAGGTATGAGATAATCAGACACAACGATAATGTCATTCAGGTTTGAATCTCATTCAGTGTGTTTCGAGATGGACTTGAGCACAAAAACACATCTTGTCATTTTGTTTTGTTTGTTTGTTGTTTAACACCGCACTCAGCAATATCCCAGCTATATGTTGGCGGTCTGTAAATAATCGAGCCTGGATCAGACAATCCAGTGATTGACATCATGAGCATCGATCCACGCAATTGGGATCGATGACATGCATCAACCAAGTCAGCGAGCCTGACCACCCGATCCTGTTAGTTGCCTCTAACAACAAACATAGTCACCTTTTACGGCAAGCATGGGTTGCTGAAGACCTACTCTACCCCGGATCTTCACTGGTCCCACATCTTGTCATTTTAGTTAAAATTGATCTTGCGGTTTCATGACAGTGGACCAGACAATCCAGTGATCAATATATTTTTGCAACGATGTACACTGAGGGGGAAAAAGGGCACGCTATCAACCAAGGCACTGAGGATGACCACCCGATCCACTGGGTCACCTCTTACAACCAACATAGGCTGTGGGGACCTATTCCACCCAGAATCCCCAGGGGAAGGTTTCTATCAATTATAGGCAGCAAATATTGTTTAATTGGCGATGTGGAAACTATCATCTAAAATGGAGGTAAAGGAATATTTTATGATGTATGTCATCCTTGACAGATAAAATATAGGCATTAAATATGTTTAAATCTTGGGTATCAATTATACAAGAACTCAAATCTGAAATCATTTTAGGGTTTCTGGCATTCATAGCCAGCTCATGAAGACATATTGTCAGACTGAGAAATAGATTGTTATTCAGCCAGAAATTGTTAATACTTTGCGATTATTCCTGGTTGTTTTCAAGTTTCAAATTCCATTTAACAATGTTTTAGCCAGACTATGTTCACACACATAGGAGATAATCAAACTATGCTCGGATCCGAATTGAAATGAGGTATCAAATGTAAAGTTAGACTACCTCAAATTCATGTCAGCTTGCAGTGTGGTACCAGATTTGTTTGTTGTTTCATGCCGCAGTCAGCAATATTCCTGCTATATGACGGTGGTCAGTAAGTCATTGAGTAAGGACCAGACAATCCAGTGATTGATATCATGAACATTGATCCATGCAATTAGGATACGATGACAAGCATCAACCAAGTCAGCGAGCCTGACCACCCAATCCCATGAGTCGCCTCTTACGACAAGCATAGCTGCCTTTTACGGCAAGCATGGGTTACTGAATACCTTTTCTAACCTGAATTAACGGGTGGTGTGTTATCAGACCAGTTATAGGTCAATGTCAACATCACGTGGGAGAAGTGAGTGAGTGAGTATGGATTTACACCGCTTTTAGCAATATTCCAGCAATATCACCAGAAATGGGCTTCACACATTGTACCCTTGTCAGGAATCGAACCCGGGTCTTCGGCGTGATGAGCGAACGCTTTAACCACTAGGCTACCTGACCGCCACTCACGTGGGAGGAAAGATGAAGCAGGACCTAGAGTGAAGGTCACAAACACGGGTGTGGTGCTGACAGATCCAGAATGATAATCTGGGAACGTATTGGATTAAAACTCATCTCCAGATTCTGACACAAGTAAGGGAAACAACTGCACCAGCATAATTTGGGAGAAAGCCGAAAGCGATCCAGGTCGCAGAAACTTACCTCTTCCGTGGCCCTTGATAATGGGTACCATGCTAACAAACCATGAATCATAATCGGTGTCAATCTTGGATTTGAGTCTACCAGCACCGGATTCTGGTCTGACTAAGGGCCACAACTCTGCACATAAGCTTGTATCGCCTGGGCAACCTGTTCCCCTGTCCAAACATTCAACAATACAACTTGCGACTTGGTGTATGAGGTGTTTACCTGTAAGACAAGAATAGAGAAGTTGACTCCCAGGTCCCTGGAACTGTCCTCTTTGGTGAAGTCCGAGAACTTGTTGTTGAGATCCGAGCTGATGCTCATGTCGGTGAACATTCGGTGGAGCTTGTTGGTGAACTCATACCCGCACGCTTGCTGTAAACACAAATCCCAGCTGGTGAACACATACAACAAGAATAATTTGTTTCAGGATAAAAATGGAAAAACTAAAAAAAGTCATTAGATTTTACCAAAAGAATACATTTGCTGGATATCCTGAAAAAAGTGTGTCACTAAAATAATGAATTGCTTGATTCGAACATTTCGAAGCAATGACCGAAAAAACATCTGTGTCAAACAAGAATCACTGACCCTTCCCGACAATTGTAAAGGGTGGGAACCCAAATCCAAATAATGTGTTATCAAGTTTTACCAAAGAAAATTATAATTGCTTGCTACGCTTGATGGAGATCCTGAAATGTTATTCGTCTTCGTCTTCACAAAGATTAATTGTATTTTTGAAACATTGACCAAAGAAATATCCTGTAACAAACATAATCCCAGGTTCCCAGAATACGAAATGGTGTCCATCCTTGTCGCCCTACCTTGAGCCTGTTGATCATGGCTTCCTCCGCATCCATGGAGGTGGACTGACTGTAGATCAGGCGCTTGGCAAGCATTCGAGAATAAAACTGCAATCACAGGTTTTACATGCACAATATCTAATGAGAAAACATTTTCATAAAAAGAGTGAGCGAGTTGGTTTAAAGCTGCTTTTAACAGTATTTCAGTTATATCACGGCGTGTCAGCTTAATGTGGAGGTAAGCCTGCAATTATCCAGATCCAAGACATTTACCACTTTGGTGAAACGGGTATGGTGCTGACAAACATAATTGAGTGAACCAGGATTCGAATCCACCGTAATAGGTTTCTTGTGTGCCCAAGGGGCACAACTCTGCACATCGAAAGTGCAGCACCTTAAATGACAGGGCAACCAGTGCCCGCTTTATAAAAATGACCATTCCAATCAACATGTAGCCAGAATATTGAAAGTAATTCAAAACACATTCACAGTTACATCAATAATTCCAAACTTGAGTCTTGGGTGAGTGAGGGAGTGAGTTTGGTTACACACCGCTTTTAGCAATATTCCAGCATTATCATGACGGGGGACACCAGAAAATGGTACCGTATTCGACGTAATAAGCGCCCACTGCGATATTTTCTAATATATTGGCTAGCGTACAATCCCAATTAGCACCCCTTCCGATTGATCAATGTACACAGGACTTATTTATTCGTGTATAATACGCATTTTATATGCATTCATAATTATGGGAAAATAAATTCTGGAAAAAATATATCTGTCGTATATAAACATTTCAGGCTGTTAGCATAAACCACGAAATTTACGATCTTTCAACTCTGTTGTTTTTCACCAAAATAATATTCTAATAAGAGCCCCCTATTTCTAACTTTGAGAGCGCCCTAGGTGCTTATTATGTCGAATACGGTACCCATGTGAGGAATGGAACCTGGGTCTTCGGCATGACAAGCCAACGCTTAAACGACACTTGCTACCCAACCTCCCCTTGAGTCTTGACAAATACATTATGTTTGTTAATCATAAAACAAAAATATGAAACTATTTACAATGATTCAAATCAACAATCTTTAAGCAGGAAAAAGGTCATAACATGGAGATGACATGGGCGCATTGCAAGCCACAAATCGCTTAGAGTAAGCCAATTAATCGCTCATCCCTTGGCCTGCAACAGGTCGAAGAGCTTGCTCCCTCGTCCAAAATGGCGGCGCAACTACCATTTGGTTGCCTTGCCATAATGAAGAGCGTCATGAAGAAGCTTGATGATGAACTGATGAAATTTATGACTACATTGAAGTTGTGGAGCTGACTGAGGATGGAGGGATGTTAGCTGCCTTTGCCGATTTCCCAGTTGATCCAGTCCAGAATTTCTTGTTCCACTGACAAACTCAGCCGCCATTTTGGTTTGAGAATGAAGCGACCTCAGTCAGCGATTGGTATGATTGCAAGCAGCTGAAAGTTAGCGTCCCATTGTAAGGCGAATCACTGGACATCGCTTGCAAGCCATTGGTGCTTTGCAACGTACCCCTGGTTTTATCAAATACCATTCACTGCAAGTTGCAAACAGTGACTGCAAACATGAGTGAGTGAGTTGGGTTTAACGCCGCTTTTAACAGTATTCCAGTTATATCACGGCGTGTCAGCTCAATGTAGGAAGAAAGCCCCAAGTGATGCAGGTCTCAGATGTTTACCACTTCGGTGAAACCCACAAGCACGGGTATGGTACTGACAAACCTAGAAACATAATCAGTGTGAACCGGGATTCGAACCCACAATCATAGGTTTCTGGCGTGCTCAAGGGACGCAACTCTGCATAGCGAATCGCAGCGCCTCAGACGACTGGGCCACCCGTGCCCCGACTGCAAACAAGTACATAAACATATTGTACGTTACCCTTTGAAAGACATCTTTATCATCTAGGTACTTGAATACAGTTATACAGTTGGCTAGTTTGTCGTCGAGCTCGGTCTCGGAAATACCCTTGGAACTCTTCTTTAACAACCCATCACAATATCGAGCAAGCTGTAAAAAACAACAACATAAAAACATACACTAGCATTGAGACAAAAAGCTTGATGTCATGTTTAGCATTATGTCTCCTCAACATGAATAACACATCATGGCGAAGTTATCAATAGGGCTGTGTATTGGATAAAACATTGTACTGTAATATACAGTAAACTACAGTTGCAACGAACTAAAAGGGACCACTAATTTTAGTTCGTAATATCCGTAGTTTGTTATAAGCACATATATAAGCATATATTCAACAAATGGCCGGGACTAAAAAATAAGTTTGTGATATCGGTCAGTTCATTATAAGCGTGTTCGTAATAAACGTAGTTTACTGTATTGCGAAACAGGTAACTATATTGTGTTATATTACATCTGAAGTGTTTGACAGATTGACACTGATTAAACTGATTCGACATGCAGATCCTATTTTCTACATACTAAAGAAAATATAGTCAGTTTCCGCCATTTTGAAGGGGAGATAACAATGTTAAACAAAAATCACTTCCGCTTTTCTGCCGTTTTGTTGATCAATTTCAAGGTAAACATCATTTGTGAGTGAATTTCTGTGTAGATTTTAGGTTAAACGATACAACTAATAACAAAACTGGTTATATTTTGTTTACCCACTATAAGGGAACACAGAAATAAATGTTGCAATATGTATTGTTTAAAAGTGTATTACAGTATCTTGATCATAATGTGCAGTAAAAAAACGGATGATCATAGCCGATTCTGAGGAAAATCTCCTTGATAAGAGTGAGTGAGTGAGTTGGGTTTAATGCCGCTTTTAACAGTATTCCAGTTATATCACGGCTTGTCAGCTTAATGTGGGAGGAAAGCCCGAAGTGATGCAGGTCTCAGATGTTTACCACTTCAGTGAAACCCACGAGCAGGGGTATGGTGCTGACAAACCTACACATTCGAACCCACAATCATAGGTTCTGGCGTGCCTAACGGACGCATCTCTGCACAGCGAATCGCGGCGCCTTAGATGACTGGGCCACCCATGTCCCCTCCTCCATAAGAGATGACATAAATACTGAACCAGTTGTCAAAGTCAATAACAATGCTTTCAATGTCAATATTATCAAATGTCCCTGCCATACTACACCTCTCTGCATGATCTAACAATCCCTCTATGGAAGGTTTCGGCAGGTGAACACTGAGCCAATCAAAATGAAGGATGAGCGGGTTCTTGAGCCAATCAAACGTCAGCTTTCTAAACCAATTCGGCTTCATATCTTTATCATCTTCCCAAATAAGAAAGTTTCAACATAAAACTCCTTTTTGGGTGTTGATGCCATGGTACTCAGAAACAACAGGACCGACTGCACAAAGCAATCTTAGTGCTACAATTATTGATAAGTCTATGTTATTGCTAAGTACAGGAATTAAGCAGTCCTAGCACTACCATCGATTTATTTAAGTGGTCCCAGGATTTATAAACAAAAGCAACAGAATGTATCAAATATAAACAAAAATGAACTGGCATGGTCTTTATTATTTCCATTCTGAACTCCCTGCTTACATGCATTTTCAAGATACAGAAATCATATACACTGGTCTGAATGGTTCACTCTCTCATACCGAGAATGTAGAAGCTTTGATGATGATGTCTGAATAGAAAGTTCACCTGCCACAACCTATGGAGGGACTGTCAGACATTCATACAGAAAGGTATCATATCGGAGTAAAAGATCTGATTATAAGGAGATTGATTGGATTTCATGCACATAGTTTGTTCAATTCAGATTGAAACTTGGTACTGACCAGTTCTGCTGATTTGCAAGCCATTTTAGGATTAGAGCGGAAGTTGATAGCAGCTGCACACGCCTGGAAAAAACAACATTCGCATTACACATCTAGTCCCGGCAACAATTTTATGCACTTCATCATGAATTTACTCCAGTCTACATACATTTTCAGTGAATAGAGAGGAAATTGAGTACTATTATACTCATAAAATTATTTGCACAAAAAAATATGTGAAGATCTGGGTTAGAACAGGTCTTCAGCAACCATGATATATATACACACACAGGATTTCAACTTCGTTCTTGTTTCTAAAGTGGATAGTACAGCCCAACGCCGTTGTGTCGAGGTTGAAGGGACCTACGTATATACCTCGAGTTATCCGGAGTTCGACACAACCGAAAATGGTGAAAAAATCAGGAATATGTTGGAACCAGGCTTTAACTTCGAGACAACCATAAGTTCGACAAATCAAAGTTCGACACAACAGTGTTTGACTGTAATTCTATCGTTACAATAGACAAGTCTAGATGAGCGGATAAGGATGCCATTCTCTTATAGGGACAGACCCGTGAAGATCCTGGTAACAATAGGCCTTCAGGAACCCATGCTTGCCGTAAAAGGCGACTATGCTTGTCGTAAGAAGCAACTAACGGGATCAGGTGGTCAGGCTCACTGACTTGGTTGATGCATGTCATCGTATCCCAATTTCGTAGACCAATGCTCATAATGACAATGGATTGTCATGTCCAGACTCAAATATTTACAGACTTCCGCCATATAGCTGGAATAATGCTAAGTGCGGCGTTAAACAACAAACAAACAAAGTACAAAAAGAGACTACAGAAGAATCATAAACAAAAAATAGCAATTTAAAGTATGTTTCATGGTAAAATCAATAAAAAAATATATATTCAGTACAAACAAACAAACAAACAAACAAACAAACAAACAACCTTGCACAAGCCATGTCAGGTCGCAAAAGGCCTCGAATTGCCCCAGTGTCATTCTTATACACAGGTAGTCTGCTTTCTAGAAATTGTCACATCCCAAAACTTCTCGAACGATCAAGACAGTTATGGTTGTGAACAACCAAGGGAGGTAACTCTAAATTCCACTCACTCACAGATGCTGACAGCGAGAGACATTTTACCAGTGTTTCAAACATTTGCTGCCACTGACATTCACTACAAATAAGTGAATGAGTGAGTATGGTTTTACGCCGCTTTTAGCAATATTCCAGCAATATCAAGGTGGGGGACACCAGAAATGGGCTTCACACATTGTACTCATGTCGGGAATCAAACCCAGGTCTTCGGCGTGACGAGCGAACGCTTTAACCAACACGCTACCCGACCGCCCCTCACTACAAATAAAGTTCCAAAACAAGTTCTTGTGCTGACTCACCTTATCAAGGGCACCAACAAACTGCTGATCAGCATGAAAGACACTTTGTATAAGTTCTGTATATTTACTGTGCACTTCTAACATGGACTCCACAAACTGCCCAGGCACCTGTCAAAATAGAGTTGATCATTCATATTGCAGCCACCTCACTCCCATCCAACAAGACAAGAAATATTAGAAAGAAGATATTTCCATTTTTTTTCAAAACAGCACAATTAACATATTGAAGAATAGATTTACAAATCTTACATATACACTGGTAAAAACTTCAACAAGGAATAGTTTTATTGTCGTAAGTGTGAGGAAGACAGCCTTAAAGTTTGTGTTTTTTACATCTGCATAGTGTAGATGTGGCCACACTCATGTTTTTACCCTTGAGAGAATGGATACCCTCAAGGTTTGTGTGTTTTATATCTACATTGGATGAGGTCAGACTTACATTATCCCCCTTGAGAGAGCGGACAGCCTCAAGGCCAGTGTGTTTTATATCAACATTGCGTGGATGAGGTCAGATTTACATTTTCTCCCTTGAGAGAGCGGACAGCCTCAAGGCCAGTGTGTTTTATATCTACATTGCGTGGATGAGGTCAGACTTACATTTTCCCCCTTGAGAGAGTGGACAGCCTCAAGACCAGTGTGTTTTATATCTTCATTGTATGATGAGGTCAGACTTACATTTTCCCCCTTGAGAGAGTGGACAGCCTCAAGGCCAGTGTGTTTTATATCTACATTGTGTGGATGAGGTCAGACTTACATTTTCCCCCTTGAGAGAGTGGACAGCCTCAAGACCAGTGTGTTTTATATCTACATTGTGTGGATGAGGTCAGACTTACATTTTCCCCCTTGAGAGAGCGGACAGCCTCAAGGCCAGTGTGTTTTATATCTACATTGTGTGGATGAGGTCAGACTTACATTTTCCCCCTTGAGAGAGCGGACAGCCTCAAGGCCAGTGTGTTTTATATCTACATTGTGTGGATGAGGTCAGACTTACATTTTCCCCCTTGAGAGAGCGGACAGCCTCAAGGCCAGTGTGTTTTATATCTACATTGTGTGGATGAGGTCAGACTTACATTTTCCCCCTTGAGAGAGCGGACAGCCTCAAGGCCAGTGTGTTTTATATCTACATTGCGTGGATGAGGTCAGACTTACATTTTCCCCCTTGAGAGAGCGGACAGCCTCAAGGCCAGTGTGTTTTATATGATCCTCCACTTCCTGCATGAGGACACCCAGACCGGACTGTATCGGCTTCAACAGGCTGTACATGTTTGTCAGGTCTGGAATACGGAGACAATGAATGAGAGAGAGAACATTCCGGCACATCACCTCTGCCTGTAGACATTCGAGTCTTAACAAAGCAGACAAGTGACTTATACTTACAGAAGAAAGTAAAATGGGTTAATGTCGCATGCAACATTATTGCACATATATGCCTAAAACTGTCTGGGCCAGCATATGACCCACAATTTCTCGAACGATCAAGTCAGTTATGGTTGTGAACAACCAAGGGAGGTAACTCTAAATTCCCTGGCAGGTCATCCATTGTGACCACACAGTCCTCATTTCAGTCTTGGACCTGTGAAGATCCGGTCTTCAGCAACCCATGCTTGCCGTAAAAGGTGACTATGGTTGTCGTAAGAGGCGACTAACAGGATTGGGTGGTCAGGCTCGCTGACTTGGTTGATGCATGTCATCGATCCCAATTGCGTGGATTGATAACAGATTGCTGTCATATTGCTGATATATTGCTGAGTGCGGCTCTAAACAACAAACAACCAACCAAACCAAACATTTCATGGGGTATAGAGCACCGGTGACCTATTCTGCCTTGAATTCCCAAAGGAAGAGAAGGCCATGGGAACGTCAAAGAAAGAAGGATTTGTTTGTTTGTAGTTAACCCAGCACTCAGCAATATTCAAACTACATGACGGCAAATAATAAAGGCTGGATCCAGTTAACGATTTTGTACACACACCGATGGCATAGAAGTCATCAATCCTGACCATCGATCCTCTGAATGGCCTCTTACAACCAGCATAGGTTGCTGGGGAGCTCCCCACATGGAGGAGTGAGTGAGTTGGGTTTAAAACCACTTGTAACAGTATTCCAGTTATATCGCAGGGTGTCAGCTTAACGTGTGATGATTGCCCAAATTTATGCAGGTCTCAGACGTTTTCCACTAGAACCTAGAAACATAATCGGGGAGAACCGGGATTCGAACCCACAATCATAGATTTCTGGCGTGCCCAAGGGACGCAACTCTGCACAGTGAATTGCGGCACCTTAGACGACTGGGTCACCCATGCCCCCTCCACATGGACGAAAGAAAGAAGAAACACAAGAGGAGATATAAAACATGGATTGTTACCTTTTCTCTTCTCCACCTGCACCATCTCGCGACACTCGCCATGGAGGAACTGCAGGTGGTCGGCGATCATGCGCTGCTGGCACTCATGGGTCACCTTGGTGTAGGAGCTGGGGTGCAGGAACTTCCGACTCCTGAAGTCTTCATTGTCCAGCTTCTGTATCACCTGTGCAACACAACATAGTCTTACATGACAAGTCTACAAGTTTGCTGGTCGAACTTGCCATTCAGGAATTTTTTAGTTGTTTATTTGTCTTAACATATAGATTATTCACACAAAGCAACAGCGGCGATCTTGATCCAAGATAGTAACTAATAACATGCTTACCACAAGTCTAGAATACTCAATGGTTAGTATGGTCTCTCTGTAGAATGCTTCACCAGTGCACTAACAATTTGCTCTTCATGATAATTTAAGCATGTAAATAAATTCGAGAAAAAATGACAAAAATCGTAATTTTCGGACTGTGAGGGAGAGAATTGGAATAGCATAATGTAAGCTCCAAATTGTAACTATTATGCCAAAATGGTTGGCATCTCTGCAGATCATGAGGTTGCTTTAAGCAATTTTCCAGCCAGATACCAGAATGTCCTTCAAACACTGTGCCCATGTGGGGATTGAATCCAGGCCTTGGCCATGACGAACAAACCTTAAACAACTGAGCGCCCCCAGGCGCTCAAGAGGGAGAGTCTGAAAGTAAGTTGACTGTAGCCATATTACTACAACCTGAAAGTTGTGAAAAATGTCAGCCACACTTTGGGAGAAAGTGCCTGCGTTGTCTCACCTTTTCCATGTAGTCTGAGCAGTTGTACTCGTCCTTCAGTTTGGCGGCCTCCTGTCGGTAGTAGTCTCCTGTCTCGTGCAGGAAGGGCGTCTCAAACAGCTCTTCATACAGCTGCAACAACACAGGGCACCAAGTATGTATGTTTGTTCGTTTTGTTTGTTTGTTGTTTAATGCCACACTCAGCAATATTCCAGCTATATGATGGCGGTCTGTAAATAATCGAGTCTGGACCAGACAATCCAGTGATTAATATCATGAGCATCGATCCATGCAATTGGGATCGATGACATGCATCAACCAAGTCAGCGAGCCTGACCACCCGATCCCGTTAGTCGCCTCGCCTTTTACGACGAGCATGGGTTGCTGAAGACCTATTCTACCCTGGATCTTCACAGGTACAAGTAACTTTGAAGATGGGCAGGTAACATTTATGGGTCATCTGCCAGGGTCACCTGTCTTGTTGGGTTTTAAAATTATTTCAAACACTGTTTGGGAGGATAGCCTTTAGTGAAACCCATGATTATGGTGCTGACAAACCTAAAAACATCATCCGACCCAACCTGAAATCCAAATCAGAATATAGGTTCCTGGTCCAACAAAGGGACACAACTCTTGGCCACCCACGCTCCCCCCAAGACAGCCTGTGTGACTTACCTGCATTGAATACTTCTTCTTATATTCTTCCACATTGACGAATGAGTTGATGACACCGTGGACAACGGTCTGATTCACAGAGTTACCTCCCCTGTCCCTGAACACATGAAAATACATTGATACATTGATACACTAATACCATAAGAATGAGTGAGTGAGTGAGGATGGGTTTATGGCAATTTTAGCAATATTCCAGCAATATCACGGCGGAGGACACCACAAATGGGCTTCACACATCGTACCCATGTCGGGAATCGAACCCGAGTCTTTGGCGTGACGGGCGAACCCTTTAACCACTGGGCTAACCGACTACTGTAACACACAGCACAAAAAGTGCTGACAAGGCTGAAAATTAGTGAATTTCAGTGCATAACAGAATTTGACACTGCACAATCACAATTCGACAAAATCAGAAGCTTCATGACGACCTCACAATGAAGTGAGTTCTCCTCCTTTCCCCAACACAACAAGCTACATAGATACAACTTACTGGATACTGTACGTTGCACTGACTGAAAATGAAGTTTTAACTTTGCGCCTTATATACCCCTTACGAGACAAAGTTACCTCCCTTTGCTGTGCTTTCCGCTTTGGAGACAATAATTTTGTTTTAATTCATCCCTCAAACAAAAGAAATTTTACATAATTTTACACAATGAAGGGAGGTAACTTCACAGTGAATTACAGAACCTCAGATGACCTGGGTGCAGTCGATCTTAGCGCTAAGGTGATCCTAACTCCCATACCTTACCATAGACTTTGACAGTGGTAGCGCTAAGGTTGTTTTGTACAACTACCCAGGTAACTCCGCACAGTGAATTACAGAACCTCAGATGACCTGGGTGTCGTCGATCTTAGCGCTAAGGTGATCCTAACTCCAATACCTTACCATAGGCTTATGACAGTGGTAGCGCTAAGGTTGTTTTGTACAACAACCCAGGCCACCCATGTCCCTCTGCCACCCTTCTGGTAACAAGCTGTTGCCAAATGATTTCAGGACATGCAACAAGCAAAGTTTGTCGTGACCTACTTCTTGACTTCTTGTAATATCAGGTTCAGAAGCTGATTCTTCAGTGGCTCGATCATCAGTCGTTTCCATGTGTCCAGGGCAAGCTGAAATAAGCACTCAATTTGTTAGCAGTTACATCAGCAAGTCCTACTGTTGGGCTAAGTTTGGTGTCATGCTTCTTTGCTTGATGCATATCATCGTGTTCCAACTGCATGGATCGATGCTCATGATGTCAATCACTGGATTTTGTGGTCCAGACTCAATTATTTACAGATTTCCATCATAAAGCTGGAATATTGCTGAATGTGGTGTTTATTAACAAACAAACAAACAACTTAACAAAAACAAAGCAATCGTCATCCCTCACCTCTCCTATCTCCAGCATCTGGTCCGCCATGTCCATGGCAAATCCCCCATAGTTGAGGTCAGCGTCACTCACTTTCTGTTTCCGGATGAACGTGGAGTTCAGGTAGCTGTAGCGAAGACCAGATACACAAATAAGCTAGCAGCTGAGAGTACTGAAAATACTCTTGCAGAAGTGGGCTTCACACAATGTACCCATTTTACCACCAGGCTACCCCTGGGCTTCCATAACATGTCTGCCGCTGGAATATTGCTGAGTGCGACGTTAAACAACTAAACCAACCAACCAACCATAACATGTGAGTGAGTTTTTACGCCGCTTTTAGCAATATTCCAGCAATACCATGGTGGGGGACACCAGAAATGGCCTTTACACATTGTAACAATGTCGGAAATCGAACCTGGGTCTTTGCGTGATGAGCGAACGCTTTAACAACTTGGCTACCCGACCGTCCCTGTGAGTGAGTGAGTGAGTGAGTGAGTGAGTGAGTGAGTGAGTGAGTGAGTGAGTGTACGTACCCATACAGCTGGTTCAGATAGTGGGAGCCCTGACTGTACCAACCGTCCCTGTGAGTGAGTGAGTGAGTGAGTGGGTGAGTGAGTGAGTGAGTGTACCCATACAGCTGGTTCAGATAGTGGGAGCCCTGACTGTACCGACCGTCCCTGTGAGTGAGTGAGTGAGTGAGTGAGTGAGTGAGTGAGTGAGTGGGTGAGTGAGTGAGTGAGTGTACCCATACAGCTGGTTCAGATAGTGGGAGCCCTGACTGTACCGACCGTCCCTGTGAGTGAGTGAGTGAGTGAGTGAGTGAGTGAGTGAGTGAGTGAGTGGGTGAGTGAGTGAGTGAGTGTACCCATACAGCTGGTTCAGATAGTGGGAGCCCTGACTGTACCGACCGTCCCTGTGAGTGAGTGAGTGAGTGAGTGAGTGAGTGAGTGAGTGAGTGAGTGGGTGAGTGAGTGAGTGAGTGTACCCATACAGCTGGTTCAGATAGTGGGAGCCCTGACTGTACCGACCGTCCCTGTGAGTGAGTGAGTGAGTGAGTGAGTGAGTGAGTGAGTGGGTGAGTGAGTGAGTGAGTGTACCCATACAGCTGGTTCAGATAGTGGGAGCCCTGACTGTACCGACCGTCCCTGTGAGTGAGTGAGTGAGTGAGTGAGTGAGTGAGTGAGTGAGTGAGTGAGTGGGTGAGTGAGTGAGTGAGTGTACCCATACAGCTGGTTCAGATAGTGGGAGCCCTGACTGTACCGACCGTCCCTGTGAGTGAGTGAGTGAGTGAGTGAGTGAGTGAGTGAGTGAGTGAGTGAGTGAGTGGGTGAGTGAGTGAGTGAGTGTACCCATACAGCTGGTTCAGATAGTGGGAGCCCTGACTGTACCGACCGTCCCTGTGAGTGAGTGAGTGAGTGAGTGAGTGAGTGAGTGAGTGAGTGAGTGAGTGGGTGAGTGAGTGAGTGAGTGTACCCATACAGCTGGTTCAGATAGTGGGAGCCCTGACTGTACCGACCGTCCCTGTGAGTGAGTGAGTGAGTGAGTGAGTGAGTGAGTGAGTGAGTGAGTGAGTGAGTGAGTGAGTGAGTGAGTGAGTGAGTGAGTGAGTGAGTGAGTGTACGTACCCATACAGCTGGTTCAGATAGTGGGAGCCCTGACTGTACTCCTCCCAGTGTTTGTGGTAGTTGGCCAGAAGGTTCTCCGAACCACAGCTCTGCACGGCCTGCAACACAACGTCGTGGTCAACTAGTGGTGGGACAATACACTCACGCGGCGGTGGATCACGATTGTTTACATGTATCAATCACAGTCGCAAAAGTATCGCTTCATGCCTCAAATGTTTGCTTTTATAACTGTTACAGTAAACATAAATTAGCGAAAATTAATAGTGAAAAAGTATTTTCATTCGTACGCCATATTTGACACTGCCAACAGTAAAAAGTCATTGTCAGGTACTTAGCTGTCTATGAGAAAGATGGCTTACGCACCACAGATAAGAGTGCATGCATACCTAGTTGATAATGGTGACCTTGACCTTATTTTCAAGGTCATGGGAAGCAATTGACCAAGGTTGTGTATAGGCCTGGGGCGATACATCAACTGTGAGATCCGATACGTATCATGATACCTTGTTCATGATCCATTACGTATCACGCTAACAAAAAGCAAATTGATCAAATAAGGTCAAGGTCACATTATCAACTCATGTCTGCAACCACCACTCAGGCACTAACAGATAGTTAAGATATTTAACAAACAACAGCGAAGGGTCATACTATCAGACAGACAGATAGAACCTAAAACAAATTCCCAAGCATTTTTTAATTTCAGGCAAACATGACCCAAACAGATATTCGTAGATTAGGATTGAAAAACATCATTCTCTTCACTTTCATTAACACCTGCTTCACAACTAGTTTCAAATAAACTGAAAGACCAGTCACATAAAGTATGAGAAGAAACCAAAAATTCAATTGGAAATATGCTAACACTTAGGAAAAAATATATAATAGTCTTGGTTCTCAGGCACCACCCGCATCATCATAAAGTTTGCCACACATTTCATTTTTATTTCGATTTAAAAAAGTAAAATAAAATAAATTAATACTTCCAAGTCCAATGGTAGTCAATACTGTATTACAGTATTTTACTCATCAAAGAATACATTTTGGTAGGGAAGCCCTTTCCCAGGTTGATTGTACACAATTGTTTATTTGGTTACACAACTGTTTGTTTGGTTACATACTAGTTTGAACAACAACAACAACAAAAAAAAAGAAAAAAAAGAGACACTGCCTGTCCGCACAATATTTTCAAAAACTATTGCCTGGGAACCAATTCTTTTCTTTTTTTATGCCTAAAATCTGACAACTTTTGGGGCTTGGTTAACGGATCTGCAAACCTTAAAGGGGCACTGATCTAACGCAATTCCCCGGGACTGGTTGTTGCCTTTGTTATTGTTTTTTCCCAGTGAGTACCCGGATGTATAGCAGAAATCTAGACTAGTTCGCGACCTCTGCTGCGCCATTCGTAAGCGCATTAGTCACTTGTATGGGTAGTAATAAGGGCGTATGGTCACATTGATCAACAAAATGAAATACAGTTTTCGAGATAATAAGGAAATGTAGGTATCTTTGTGGGTAGCATCGGTAATGGTGACGTAGTTTTGATAAGTCACTTGCTTGGTAATTTTGCGATTTTCGTTTACACTATTTTGACTTGCAACACAAAGTTTCACCTGAGCATTGCTTTTTGATAGTGTGTATATTTTTGTCAAAATGTGTAACATTTTCAAATTTATTAAACGCCTAAATATTGAGTTATTTTACAAAGTGACTGAAAAACATTTTCATCTGTATTATTATGATAACGAATTCCAAACATTTTGATGTTTAATGTCATCACCAAGAGACTGAAAATGTTACGTTGAAAAGTACATTTCTATGTTGTTTGGCTTCTAATCCTACATAATAATCAGTTTTTATGTTTGTAGGCCCTTTTAATCGTCTTAATCAATCTGGACAGATTTTTTAGTCAAAGTGACTGAAATATTTACACATTTTATAAATTGCCTGAGAGAATCACGTTTTACAAATTGACGGTAATATATACACGCTTACAAAGGAAAAGGCCTGTGAAAACAACGTCTATCGCGCATTGAAGAATTTCCCAACCAAGGCGTAGAGAAACAAGGACGAATCGGTTCAATGTTACAGCAAATGAAGTATAAATTTTAGGCAGCTTCCTTGTTCGAGGAATGTATCCATGAATATCCACACAAAGGAACAATATCCCAATCGTCTGCAGCTGTACAAAAAAAACTTATTCGATGTCACGTGTCTCTGTAACAATCACATATTTTTAAAAATATATATCGTTTGGGGATATTTTAACCCGTGTCCGTTTCTCAACTGATCACTTGGATTGTTTCAGGTGTTTTACATAGGTGTCAAGTCTCAAGGGTCAGCTGAGAAAGCCCCATGACAACTATTTTCATAACGTCCACAGTTCCTAAAAAATCCATTGAGTGATAGATAACAATGATCAATCAATCAACGTATTATCAGTTAACCCTTTGAACAAAGTATGTTGTTTTTACATCGGCACTTCACGCCATGATATGAGTGTATTCCCTTTGTTTTAGTAAACCTAGACATGTAAACACTCACTTTTGACATATCCACTGTGCAAAATAACAGGCATTAATCAATCAACGTATTTTCTGTTAATCCTTTGATGACTAGGAACGATCCATTGATTTACAAAAAAAGTAAATCAACTGATCATTCACCTCTTGCTGGTCTGCCACGTGCATATTACATAACACACATTTCACCTCACTTCAAACCTGGATTTAGATTGAATAATTACCCCAGACACAATAAATGCCAAATGGGAACCTTTGTCAGGTAATCTAAGTGGTGCTACCACTAATTGTACCTGTAATAAATTCATTCACTGAGCATCAAGTGAATGACGACAAATACACAAGTGTAGGGGTTATACGAGAAAACGTGGATGACAACAAGGGAGTAGATATCGTATTATCGACGCAATCCGAAATCCGAAAATGCTTTCACTGCATGGATACTTTTTTTTATTATTAAACTATAACCATCTGGGGTATTTCCAAATGACGACATCCAATGAGCTCCGCCGTTCTTTTTGTCTGTTTGTTTAGGTTGAAGAAATTAATTAACATGCGCCCTTTGTCGAAATCTTTATAGATCCCGGTTAACCAATCAGTGTTTATGCAAAAATGCGTAAAACAAATATTGCCCTCAGCCTCCAAGTTTATTTAGCTGTCCTTGCAGACGGTAGCCCAGTCTCTGGTCACGCTCAGTTGCGTTGCGTATCATCCGGGTACTCATGGGGAAAAAACAATAACAAAGGCAACAACCAGTCCGGGGAATTCCGTTAGATCAGTGCCCCTTTAAAAATCGAAAACTCAGAAAAAATAGTTCTTTCCTACCAACTATGATAAAAATTGCTCTGACAATAAAAATAATCCAAGGGATTAAAACAGTATATTTTCCAATGATAAATCGTCATTACAAGTCAAATATACATGTAAAACACAAACCAAATGTCAGACCAACCCATCCATAAAATTGAAATGTCACTGAGAATTTAGACAAGGTCCCAAATCTGGCCAAAATTTAAATAAAAATTCACCTTCCCAACTAGATCAAACTTTAAGAAGATCAAATAATCCTGTACAATACATTATATTTTTTTCAACCTACCAATGGTACCAACTTTATTTTTTACTATCAAAATCTTAAACTATAAACAAAGAAAAAAAGTTTGGTCCAAGACAATGCAATATACATTTGGTATAGCACTAAATGTCAAGATAGTGTCAACCATCTTTCTAATTCTGTCATGAGCACTCAATAATGAGTGAGTGAGGTTTTATGTCGCTTTTAGCAACATTCCAGCAATATCACGGCGGGTGACACCACAAATGGGCTTCACACATTGTACCCATGTCGGGAATCGAACCCAGGTCTTCGGCGTGACGAGCGAACGCTTTAACCACTAGGCTACCCGACCTCCCCTATCAATAATGTGATGACTTTGGTATTTGGTATATTGTAACCCTCGGACTTAACCTTGATGGCGCATCTACTGACCTTGAGAAGAGTTGACACATGGGCCTCCAGGAAGGACTTAGTCGCCTGGTACAGCTTATCTCCGAGCGGCTCCGGGAATGCTACGCACAACTGATACACATCAGTCCCACTGTCAAGGGCAGATAACTCATTCACTGAAAACTTTTTCAAACGGAATCAAATACTGTATTCGGCGTAATAAGCGCCCAGCTCTAATAAGCGCCCACAGCGATAATTGGTAATTTATTGGCTAGTGAACAATCCCAATTAGCACCCCTTCCTATTGATCAATGTACACAAGACTTATTTAGTCTTGTATAATACGTGTGTTATATGCATCCATAATTATGGGAAATTAAATTCTGGAAAAACATTTCTGTCGTGAGACAACTATCCTGAACATGGCTCTTGGCATAATCTTCAAAAGAACTCAGTGTGATTACATGT